AGAATCCAAGGATGTGAATGGCAGACCAATATTTAAAAAGAAAAACTTTACCACTGGGGTAGGGAAGAGGAGCCATTACAAAGGATAGTCTAATGGAACAGAATTGCGAACCCAGAAATAGACACAGCTATCTATCATCAACTGATATTCAACAAGGACATCAAAGTTATCAAACGGGGAAATGATAACCTCTCCAACAAATGGTGCTAGCAAAACTGGACTTCCATCTACAGAAAGCTGAAACAGAATCCACATCTCACACCATACACAAAAATCAACTCAAGGTGGATCAGAGACCTGGGAGTAAAGCCCAAAACTGTAACGTTCCTAAGAGACAAACTGGGATCAAGCTTAGAAAAAGAAACTGCCAAGTACAACCAGAAATGCACAATATAATGAGGATAAAATAGATGCATGGGACCTTCTAAAGATTAAATCCATTTGTGCATGAAAAACTTTTTCCAACAGGGTGAAAAGAAAGCCTACAGACTGGGAACAAACATTTGGTAATACCATCTCAGATAAGAATCTTATAAACAAAAACAAAAAGAATCTTATAAACAAAGTTTACAGAATACTCCTGGACCTCCACAAGAAAAAGACTGATAACCCAATTACAAAATGGGCAAAAGACATGAAAAGAATTTTCATAGAGGATGATATTCAAATGGCAAACAGACACATGAAGAAATACTCCAAATCACTGGCAATAAGAAAGATGCAAATCAAAACCACAATGAGGTACCATCTCACTCCAGGAAGAGTGGCAAAGTTTAAGAGGGCAGCAAGTAATTAATGTTGGAGAGGATGTAGTGAGAAAGGAACTCTTATACATTGCTGGTGGGATTATAAAAAGAGATGCAACCATTCTGGAAGGCAGTTTAGCGCTTCCTCAAAAAGCTGAACGTAGACATTCCATATCACTCAGCTATTCCACTACTTGAAATATACCCTGAGAAAATGAGAACTGAGGTACAAATGGAGATTTGTACACCAATGTTCACAGCAGCATTATTCACCATCACAAGCAATGGAAATACCCCAAATGTTCAAACACAAATTAATGGATTGAGAAATCATGGTACATTGACACAATGGAATACTGTGCAGCACACAGGAGCAATGATTTTATAAATTATTACCTAACTTGGGAGGGACTGGAGAGCATTATGCTGAGTGAACTAACTCAGTCGCACAAGGATAAATATTGTATAAAACCATTATTGTAAAATGAGTATAAGGATCCAAGAGGGGTGGGAGAGTTTGGAAGCAGAGGGATGAGGATGTGCAGGGGGCAGGGAGATTAATCATGGGGTTGTACAAGTTGATGGGTGAGGGAAAGTGAAAGAATCTGTTCTTGAAAGCAATGTATTCAAATTTTGTAAATAAACTAACAGAAAACTAAAAAAAAAGAAAGGCTAGTCTAGGGGAGTCAGTCACATGATCAGATCAGAGCAATACCTGACAGGTACCTGCAAGATGGACCTAAGCGGACTGACCTCGGAAACATCAAAAGCCCATCCTCGAGTGGCTGTTGCCACAATTCAGAGCCAAAATAAAGGCTTTGAAGCTAGCCAGCAGGAAGATCATGCCTTAAATATTGATTCAGTGGGCAAAAGTGACATTCATCACCAGGCTGTTTCCCCAAAGGGCCTGCGCCTATGTGAAAGGCACTCATCATTTCCCTATTACATAAATTGATGAGGTCATTCGGAGCGGAGACTCGTGCCAAGGGTTTGCTGCTAATCAAGCCAGAATAACACGCTGGAGGGTGAGCCAGGCCCTCTGCCAACTGGCGAGCCACTTGAGAGGCACAGAACGCCGCAGTGGAGCACCTGTCCCTGCTCACAGGGTCTGTCCGAAGACAGCCACCAAGACTGCAAGAAGCTGCAGGGCTTACTCCCAACCCGACGCTCTCAGGGCTTCTGCCAGCGCTGTCCAGAGGCATGCATCTCCCCCACGGCTGAGCTGCCTCACTGCTCCGCAGGACTTGTAGGGGAGGAGCGGCTGGGAAGGAGAATCTCAGAGAGGTTCTGGGGTGGGGACCCCAGAGGAGGCAAAGGCCAAGAGGACAGGCAGCTGGGATGCATCTTGGCAACAATAACAACAATTGGTGCTTGTCTATGGCTCTGTTTTCCAGAAAAGGGAGGAAGGGAGTTGGTGTTTCAGTGGATGAGATGCCCTCCCTCTGATGAGAAGATCTCCCCACTCAATTCTAAGATCATTGCAAAACTAGCCAGGTGTCATCTACTTCCAAGAAGTCTGATTCCACCTCGGCGGGGGTGTGGGAAGAAAGTCGCATCTATTCCTCTGTCTCCTCCTTAACACAGTTGATGGAGCCAGCCCTCCAGTGCGTTTTCGTTCAGAGGCTGTAGATCCCACAGGAGCTGACTGCCCATCTTTCTCCCTTGGAGCAACTGGTGGATTCAAACCACGTGCCTTCAGGTTGACAGTGCAATTCCTTACCACTAGGTCATTTTTTTTCACAATTACTTGCTAGGCATCAGAGAGCTGGATGACAACTAAGGATGACAGAAGAATCAGTGCCTTTGAGCTGTCGTGCTGTAGAACAGTAGTATCACACACTATGGACCTCGAAGCGAACAAACAAGTGTGTGTTGGAGAAGCTAAAACCAAGTATGTGCTTGGGGGCTAGGATTTTGAAGCTCCATCTCACATACTTTGGGCATGTGGCCACAAGGGACCAGTCCTAGGAGGAGGACATCATGCTTGAGAAGGTGGAGGGACAGTGCAGGAGAGGAAGACCCACATGAAATGGATTGACGCAGTACCTGAGGTAATAGGTGTAGGTGAGTGGGAGTCGGTGAGACTGGCTCTGAATAGGGCAGGGTTCAGAGCTGTTGTACACAGGGTCACTATGAGTTGCAGATGACTCCATGGAACATAACAACAAGGCCACCAGAGGCTTTCCTAATACAGAGGGAACTACAATTGGCCCCAGCTACAAACTAGCACATTGCTAGAAAGATCCAAGTCTCTTGTGCACCTTGCTTTGGGGAAAAATCTGGCTTTAAGTCAGATGGCTCCTGGCTCCCGGCAGCTCTCTACACTACCTACCCTTCGTCCCCAATCTATCCTGGTGCACAGCCGGAGCGCTCTTACTGAGAGGTGGTTGTGTGAAATATTTGGTGAATGGTCAAGGCTCATCCGGGGACCACTTTGGACATCCTGACCAGTTGGAGGCTGACTCTGCAGCTATCACTTTGGGTTGACCTTCACTTAGAGCGCTTCCTCTGATTTGCAGGCTAGAGGGCCCCTGGGGGAGGGGAAGTTTGAGGGGGTGCACAGCTCAGCTTGGGCCACAGATCACCTACCTGGAGTGTCTAAGCGCAGTAAGTGTTATATTTTCTATCTACCTATTATCATCATCAAAGGCCCCCTCCCCTACAGTCTGACTCTAGGAAGAAGATGCTGCTTAGCTCAGAACTGTGGGGCTCTGACCAAGTTGGCTAAGGTCCCAGGGAGAAGCAGAAGGGGCCTCAATTTTCTCGGGAGTTCCTGAACCCCCTTCACACCAGTCTGGGGGTGGGGAGCCCGCTCGCCCCTCCTGTATCACAACTCTCTTGCAGTCACGATCTTATCTCCATCCCTTTTCTCCCAGACCCAGGGCTGGCGGGGTCCTGGAGCCAGGGTGGTGCTTGGAGAGCAAGCAGCCTGTGACCCTGGGCGCTGTCCCCTCCCGGGCCACCTGAGTCTCTCCACTCCCGATTCTCTCCTCCCAATCGATTCCGCAGCGTTCCCTCCCTGCCAGCAAACTGCTTCAGCCGCAGCAACAGCCTCCAGTTGGGAGAAAACAAGCGAAATGGGAAAGAAAACAGGATTTGAGGAGCCCCCGGCAGCAGAATGGCCTGTCTCGCCCGGCACAGTGGCTCCTGCAGCCCCCGGAGTCGCCCGCCCCCAGGCTGCGGCACAGATGCGCTGTCCGCGGTGCTGACGCCGGCCGCCCGCTTGCAAAGGGGAGGAGACGCCCTCGTTCCCGGAGCGGAGCGCCAGAGCCCAGTGACGTGCATTTTCCCCAAAGAACCCTCCTGATTCTGAAGCTGCAGTTGTACCCCAGGCGCGCAAGCCAGTGGGTACTCAAAGTTCAGACGACGCCGCGGTGCGTGTTCCCAGCCCCTGACACTGCCGGGCACCAGCAAGTTGGGCAAAGTTTGGCAGCTTCTTGGAAATCAGGAAGCCGGAGCGCAGGCAGGTGCCTGAAAGGGGTTCCCTGGCGAGGTGGGGAGCCAGCAGCACGCACTTCGGACACCTGCGCGCTGGTTCCCTGCGTTAGTGCCATCCGAGCGTCCGGGAGGGGAGGCGTAGCAGCCGTGCAAGTCCCCACCCCCTCCCTGCCTGCCTTACCCACCCCCCCAACACCCCGCCCCAGGCGCCGGTGACTCCGCCTCTCGGAGCCGGGCGGCTCTCCGACTGGAGCGAGGAAAGGAGCGCTAGCGGACTCTGCTCGGAGCTGAGGCTCCCCGACACCTCCAACCCAGCCCCGGGGGCAGGCGCAGGACAGTCCGCACAGCCCACCCTGAGGAGCCAGGGAGCGGATACCACTCATGGGGCGCCCTCGGGGGCTTTCTCTGCACCCTGCGGCTGCGTCCCCGTCCTAGGCGCCCGGACTCCACGGCCCGCCCAGCCAGCGTCCCCGGCCTGTCTGGAGAGGAGCATGAGGCCCGGAGCCCCGCGGACGCTGGCCACAGGGCGGCAGGGGGCTCGAGGCAGGGCCCCGCGCCCGGGCGCGCCAGGTGAGGAGCCACGGGAATTGGCGAGGCGTCGGGGCGACGAGAGGGGCGCCCCAGCCCGGACGCCTGCAGGCCCGCCAGACCTGAGCGCAGCCTGAGCGCCAGGGAGGAGGCGAAGGTGCCCCACCGTGCGGGCTCCGGGGGAGGCGGCGAGTCCTGGTCATCATCCTCACACTCCTGTTCCCGCGGGGGCAATGTCTTGGCCCGGGCCCCGAGCGCCGCCCCGGCCCCGGGGCTGAGCTCCGGACCATGTCCTCCCGCAGCCCCCGGCCCCCGCCCCGCCGCAGCCGCCGCCGCCTGCCGCGCCCCTCCTGCTGCTGCTGCTGCTGCCGCCGCTCCCACCTCAACGAGGACACTGGCCGCTTCGTGCTCCTGGCGGCGCTCATCGGCCTCTACCTGGTGGCGGGAGCCACCGTCTTCTCGGCACTGGAGAGCCCCGGCGAGGCGGAGGCGCGCGCGCGCTGGGGCGCCACGCTGCGCAACTTCAGCGCTGCGCACGGTGTGGCCGAGCCGGAGCTGCGCGCCTTCCTCCGGCACTACGAGGCCGCGCTGGCCGCCGGGGTCCGCGCCGACGCGCTGCGCCCGCGCTGGGACTTCCCTGGAGCCTTCTACTTCGTGGGCACCGTGGTATCAACTATAGGTGAGCGGCACCCCCGGGCGCGTGTCTTCCCTCCCCGCGCCTTCCACTGGCCACTCTCTCCCCGGCTTAGTCTCAGAGGCAGCTTCCCTCCAACCTCTCCTTTTGCCTCTTCTCTGCCAGGCTTCCTGGTCCTGCTCTTTCTCTCAGCGCAAAGGGCCAGAGAGGCCCAGGACTTGTGCGTCCCCACTGGTGACTCACCTGGTGGCGTGATCTGGTGGGGAGACCCCTCATCAGGGCGCGGGGACGGCTAGAAGCCGCCTGCGTCCTCCAGTGCTGGCCGGTTCCTAACCGCTCTGAGCCTCAGTTTTCTCTCTTGAGAGGATTTATGAGGATATGCGTCAAGCGCCCGTTGGTTTTCTTCCTATTTCCCAGGCACCCCTCAGCCTCACTTGCCTCACTCTGATTTTGAGAGCTCTTGCTCCCTTCACTTTTCCAGTTTTTATTTCCATTTCTCATTTCCTCTTTATTCTCCCCCCCCCCTTTAAGGGTCCTCTAATCTTTTCACCTTAGGTAGGCCCACTACTCTCGAAAAAATTCTAGAGTCCTCTCTACACACCTTGCCCCAGCCCCCTCAAAACAAGTCCTTTGAAGTAGGTCAGGATTCTGGCTGTAGTCATTCTGTGCTTCCCTTGGTTTTCAGCCTCCCCTCCCTGGGGAGCCCCCCCGCCATCATCCATCCGTTTGTCTCCTCTCCATCATCTGCAACTGATTGGGTAGCTTGGAGGGGAGCAGTGCCCCTATATTTCCCATTACCTCTCCCCATTTTTGTCATAAGCCATTCATGTTTTCTCAACTTTAGGAAAAATGCTCTGTAAATACGCCTTGCAGTCCCCCATTCCTCTGAGCTCCTCCAGTATTCCCCTAAAGCCATTTCCAAACCACCAAGGCTCTTTACCCCATCCCTTCCCTCTTCTTCCCTCACTTCTCCACACTCCCCCTTTCTCTGAGTTCCGGGTGTCATGCAAAACACGACGCTTCTTCCCAGCAGCTCACCTAAACAGAGTGTATGGCAGCTAAGGAAAGTTCTGTGTGTCCCACCACCTCCTGCGTGCCTGACTGAGATGAAGGTGGGAGCAGTGACTTGCCTGGTCACACTGCGGTCACCTCCAGGCACTCCGAGAGGTGCAGTGTTGGAAGAGGAGGTGGATTTGCTGGTGGGGACCTGCAGAGATTCCTAGAAATTCCTTTCATGAGGGGGTTCTGGGGTTCTTTCATATGCCTTCTCAGGGGGAGGGGCGAGGGGGACCTGGACAAACCCATCCACGTAGGCGGATGGGAGGAATGGAGGCAACGTGGCGTCCATGTGCAGGTCCATGAGCTGCAAGATGCCTCTTCGGGTGTATATGCATCACTGGAGGAAGAGCCTCCTTTCCCTCAATTTTTTTTCCATGTGTCATGCTTCAGCTGGTTATTTGAAATAGAAAAGGCCAGTATGGCCCAAGTCCAAGTCGCACACTCAAATTGGATAAAAATACCCTTTAAGAGCTATTTTATGTTGTTATGGTGATTAATGATATAAAATGACCCCCTCCAAAAACAAAACAAAACAAAAATTCTCCTTTTAAGAGCTGCATAGAGTTGCTATAGCAACTCCATTTTATCCCCCCTCACTCCTTAAATGCTTTTAAAAAGTACTGAGAATGCTTAGTTTTAGAGGATGACATCATGCCTTTGCCAGATCATTACCAACTTCGTCTCTACCTCTTATAAATATATCCGTTGCTTTGGCCCACTTGGTCAGGCCTGTGTACGTACTGGATGGGCAGTGTGCTCCCAGCACTGTATGTACTCTGGCCTCCTGAAAGAGCCCATGGGCTGAAGAGGCGGCTGTTAGCAGTGGACCCTAAGTCTGTCATCTCAGAGCGCTCCATTCCAGTCACCTATGGTCTCTGTGCCTGTCTGGCAAGTTCCCATCAACCCCTGGTCCACTGCCTCTTTGGATGCAGGGATTCTGAACCGAGTGACAGCTTTTAGAGCTCTACCTCCACACCAGCTCTTTGCACCTCGAGTCAGCACACTGGTGTACATTTCCACGTCCTAGCCTTTAATCCACTGGCTGAACTGGCTGTATTTTAGTTAAGGGGGGGGGAAGAACAATGTTGTTTTCCTTGGTTTGTGTTTTTGGATACAGGCAAGCAGTAGGAGGATTACACCAAAGTGTGTGGCAGTGCTATGAATGACCCAGCACACTGCTTTCAAAATCTGCAGCAAGGCAGCATTCATTTCTGTAGGGAGCTGCATTCACGGGGCCAGACCAGCCTGCCCACACGTTAGAGCTGGACTGGCCCTTTGTGGGGGTGCTTAGAGAGCCCTACGAGTAGCAGGGTCTCTGCCCAGTTATCTGGTCTTGGGCAGTGGTCCAAGTTGACCCCTTCTATCAGTCAGATATGTTCTCAAAGAGCACAACTGTCATTTTAGCCTTTGTAAAACGCACTTGGGTGAGCCTGAAGTGATCGACCTAGATGTGTCAGTTGTTTTTTGGTTTAAGTAGTTCCTCTCCCTCAAATACCCTTAGTCACCAGAGGCAATTAGTATCATGACCGATGTTTTAGGAGTTCACCAACAGATCAAGGCATCAAAGTCCCATCCCAGAGACAGTCAGGACTCTCTCTGACAGCTCACACAGGGAGGGGGAAATTAGCACATGCTCTGATTTACTTGCTTGGTGAATGCAGCATGCCACGTTCAGTGTGGAAATTGGAAGACCCAATGATTTCCGTTCAGCTCCCTATACTGTCTAACCACATAGGAAGTGCCGTGTTCGTGTGTTCGTGTGTGTGTGTGTGTGTGTGTGTGTGTGTGGTGTAGTGGCCACTTGCTGTCGATTCTGACTCCCACCGACCCCCCACCACCCCATGTCAGCATAGAGCTACACTCCACAGGGGTTTTCAATGGCTACAAGTAGACTCTCAAGCTTTTCTGTTAATCTGGCTAAATGATTCATCTACAGACTATAGCCTAGAAAGCCCTTTCCTCATTCATCCCTGAAATATGACAGATCGCATGTGTCAGACCCCATGCTGTTGTGTTGACATGTAAAAGCGTGTTCTAGTTGTCAATGGTTTAAACGTATTTCAACATGGGCAGCTGACGCACAGGCTTTAGAGGTGGCAGAGCTTCCCCATCCTCACTGAAGGTCACTTAGAATGAGAAAGGCCCCCTGGCCTAATCCTTGTGGCCCAGAGTGATAAAGGACTTGCCCAAGTCACACAGTTCACCAGAGAGCCAGATGGGTCCACAAGCCAAGTGTAGTATATGTTCTACGTACTTCATGTATTTACCTGATGGGTATTTACTTGATTTGGTGTTGAAGGATCTGATGGGATGTGTGTCTGTCTGTATGAATGTGTGTTTATGTGCACAAGAGGGAAAGGGGCAGATACCAGTGCTGGAATGGACGGGGCTAAAAACTAACTCCAGAGAAAGCTTGACAGGTCAGACACATCTCTTGTTGGTCATACAGACTGGAAGCACCTTGTGAAATTGTAGACAGCTGGGGAGAGAAGAGCCGGTATGAAAGAGGTCCAAAACAGGGTTAAAGTCTATAGGAAATGGATGATAGACTCTGGTCCAAGCTCAGAAGCTGTACGCACTTTGCTTTCTGTTCTGTCTGGGATGGAGGGGTGGCGGGAGTTGGGGGGAGGAGAGAAGGTTGAGCAATTGGCCTCCAGCTAGAGATGCACACAGAAAGGTGTCTGTGTGTCCCTCAGAGTCAGATGGAGCCCCAAGGGGACCCCAGGATGCTTGCCCTGACATTAGGCTTGCATAATGTTCCACATCTAGAGCTGGGTGGTTTGCAATTACAGAGACAAGCTCTGTGTCCATAGTGCACAGAGCCCTGGGAAAGTCCACCAGTGATTATTCAGCAGGGGTGGAGCCTACGCAGCAAAGTCAGAGAGGCTGTCTAAAGAGGCAGTCTCAAGACTTCACACGAAATGAAAATCCACTTTGGGGTCTAAATTATTCATATCAGTTGCACACACTGAGCTGAAATCCTGGGCGATTATTAATCCTCCCATTTATGCTGTGTGACATACTCTCTAAGAGGTGAAATCAAGTTTGTTTTGACGTGAATGCATCCATTCGTTCATTTCTTCATTGAATAAACACCCAAGACAAGCCTAACTCATCACACTGCACATGTGGACTCTGCCGTGGTGTTAAGGACACCGCCTGTGATGATACAATTCTACTCAATGCCATCAAGTCGGTTCTGACACATCGAGACTCTCTGCTGGTTTCCAAGACTGGAAATCATTACCCATGGGGACCGGCCAGCTCTTTCCCTCAGTGTAACTGGTGAATTCGAACCGGCAGAGACACCAGGCCTGTTCATAAGCAGCACAGTCCACTATAGACCAGGCCATCAGAGTTCAATCCTGTGATTATAGGAACTCCTAAGATGATGATAATAAGGGAACTCTTATGACCTAATGGCAAGGAGTTTCACTGTTAACCCAAAGGCAGGCGGTTTGAATCCACCACTGGCTGTAAGGGAGAAAGATGGCCAGTCCTTCCTGTGCCATTTACAGCCTGGGAAAACTGCCTGCAGGATCATCTGTGAGTTGGTTTTGACTCAATGGCAATGAGCTTGAGTGTGAGTCCCAAGACAGGTCCCTGGGTGGTAGAGAGTGTTACTCACTTAACTACTAGACAAAAGTTTGGTGGTTCAAGTTCTTCCAGAAGCACCACTGGAGATGGGTCTCGTGATCTGCCTCTGAGAGGTCACAACCTTAAAAAGTCCACAGAGTCCACTCAGTTCTGCTCTGCACACGTGGGGTCCTGTCCAGCCACAACGGACTCAAAGGCGACCAGTAAGAGAAGATAAAGGCAGAGGCTGTGTTCTTCCAGCAATCCAGTCTCCCCAGGGCCAGTCAGTGCGCCAGCTCACACACCCTCAAAACAATGCCGAGTGCCCGTCATCCATCACTCCCCATCCAAAAGGCTGTGTTATTAGTTTACTGTGAAAAAGATGAAGAGGAAATTCTCCACTGGGGTTT